GAAGTGGAGGACTGAGCGCTGCATGGCCTGGTGTTCGCCTGCCTTCCAGGGAGTCTCCACTGGGCAGGTCATTGCTGAATGCAGAAGAGCTGCCTTCGGAAGCTGCCTCCACACTCTCCGCCAGCTCCACCTCCCTCTCTCCTTTGGGCGGGGGAGTTCCTCGCCGACTCTCTTCGGGCTGAGCCTCGGCCTCCCTCTCCTCGTCTGTGAGGCAGACCCCCTCTTCGGACGTAGCCTCAGAGCCGAGCGCTTCCTCTTCCGGCCCATCGCCCAGACCCTCGCTCTGCCGCAGGGCGGCTGGCTCATCCTTTGCTGCTGCCTTCACTTCCAGAGGAAGTTGGATGCTACCCACCCACTGCTCTTGGGTAGAGGCCCCCTTGCCACCAGGCAGCTCCTCACGGCCGGGCCGGTCTCCAGTTGTTTTCTTGGCCGTTTCTTCCGCATCAGGGCTCTCCATTTCCCCTTTGAACACAATGTTCTCGCTGCAGCTTGTTGAGACAGAGGAATCTTGATCCTCTCCAGCACCACGCTCAGGCTCCCAGGGAGACTCCGAGCTAGCTGTTTCCAGTAGATTCATGTTGCTGTCCCTCAACTCAGGCAAGTCTGGATCCAAGCTGCAGACACATGGGGCCTGGAACGCTTGAGCCCCTGGTTCGGGCAGGGTTTGGCCTGGAGCAGCTGCAGTGGGAGATTCCATTTCAAGTTGGTCTCCTAGGGGGCAAACCTGAGCAGAGGCCGAATCTGTTGGGCTGCATGCCTCACTTCCTGATACAGAAGTGTCGGTGGCTTCCTCGGCAGATCTGGTCTGCAAGTCAAGGCTGACAGTGCTGGAACAGGGAGCCAGGGTTACCATTTCCACTGGTTCTCCCAGGCTCTCTAAGCCTGAGCAGCCACCTTTGGCGGGGTCTCTCCCATCGCAGAGACGGGCGAGGCACCAAACTTGGATTCCAAGTCAGATTCTGCAGCCTCAGCCGTGAGCCACTTCTCTTCCGCGCTTGCCATGAGCTCCTCTCGATTCTGGTCTGTGCTGCTGTTAGTTTCTGCTGGCATCCAGCTGCCAGGAGAGGCAGGGCAGCTCTTGTCCAGTTGAGGTTCTCCTGAGTTGGAGTCTTTGGTCTCTCCTGTCCCTGAGCATGGCCAGACTGGCTCAGGGATGCGGTTGATTGCCAGGGCTGGCTTCTTGCCTAGGGCTTCTTGCCCCCAGGTTGGTTTGGTGCTCTCTGGAGCAGCTGTCGCCTGAGGGAGCAGGGAGAACTCAGTAGTGCTGAAGTACCTTTTCACATAGGTCTCGATCTCCGATTCTGAGCTCGCATCCAGCTCCCCGCACTCCTGCCTGAAGAACTGGCTGCTCCCATCCAGTCTCCTCTGGAGTTCCTGCAGGCCTTTCTGCATCACGTGGAGGTCCAGGCTCTGGGATGCAGCCTCCCCAGGTGGGAGAGGGGGCTCTTGGGGCTGATCCACTCCCACAGCCAACATGGGCTCGCTCTGGCCGGCTGCGTCTAAGAGCACATTTGGCTGCATCTCATTTTGTCCCAGAGGGGGCAGGGAATCCAGGCTTGCTTCCAAGGACAGCTCCCCTTGTTCCTCGTTGTTGTTGACTTGATCGAGAGAGGAGGCCTCCTCCAGCTCCTCGTCAGAGGAGGAGAAGCAGGCGATCAAGCACTCTCCTGCTGGCTCACTGTCAGCTCTGGCCACTTCAGGCTGTTCCAAGCTGGCGTCATCGGAGGCTCCCAGTCGGGCTGCGAAGTGACCTTCCCTCTTCCCTCCCAGAGAAGTGCTGTCCTGGTCTAGGAGCTCCAGGAGGTGCGCTTCAGACTCCTTCAGCTTGGTGCCCATCTCAAATACAGAGGCATCACCGGCTTTCCTGGCAGTAGGCTCAGCGAGCTCGGTGGGAGCTGGCTTCTGTTTCCATGGCAAGGGTATCGCAGATCCTGTCCCATCCCCGCCTCTCCATGGTGCCACACACACTTCAGCAGTAGCCGACTGGCTTAGTGGCTCTGCATTCTCCACGACTACCTCCAGCCCGGGGAAGGCCTCGGTCTCCTCGTCTGTATCAAAGCAGGCGATCAGACACTCTCCTGAGTTGGGGAGCCCTTTCTCCAGGGCCTCCTGCATGTCCGACAGCGAGGACTGGTGCTCTAGGGAGCTCTCCGAGGAGGAGCCCGTATCCCCTGGAGAATCATCCGCCTGGTCAGATTCGGCTCTCGGAGCAGATTCCCCGGGGGATGGGGTGCTGTCTGGTTTCAGAGAGGGGCTCCAGCTGCGGCCTGCGGGCGAGACACTGCCACTTCCTGGGCTGTCTTCGGAGTCGCTGTGTTCAGCCACTGGTGTTGCCTTGGGTTCGGCGAATGCCGCTGATTTCAGCATCCCCTCACTTCGGGCTGGTGGCTGTCTCTCTTCTGCCTCCCCCTCTTCCTCTGTGGTTCCTTCCAGTTCATCCTGGTGAGCCACGTTACCCTCCGGCTCAAACCCAACCTCCACCTCTGTGTGGGGGACTGTGCCCAGCTCCATGTCCAGAGCCGAGAAAGCCGCGTACTCCTCATCGGTGTCGGAGGCATCAGACGACGTCTCCATCTCGCTCTCGCTGCCCGAGCGGGAGGCCCCCTGCTCGGAGTCCTCTGCAGCCGGCTTCTCCCCTTCCTGAGCCGAGGGGGTCACCACAGCGTATTGCTCGGTGCTGTACAGCTGCTCGTCCGCCTCGCCGTTGTACGAGGCGGAGTCGGAGGACTGGGAAGTGTCGTCTTGGTAGGCGAAGGACTCGTCCACGCCCTCATTGATGGAGTTCTCCGACAGAGAGTGCAGGAAGGAGGCAGAGGTGCTGTCGTCTTCCTCCGCCCCGTAGACAACGTCGTTCTCCACAGACTCCCCCTGGGGGAACAGCGTGATCTCCAGCGACTCGGCCTCGAAGATCAGGCTCCCGCGAAAGGGCAGCAGCGTGGCAGGGATCATCTGGTCGTTGTCCGTGAAGTCTGATGGGAGCTCCGCCGAGGAGCCAGTGGTCTCGGCCTGCAGGCTGCTGGGCGTCTCTGCATCCGACGAGACGCTTGCCCCAGACACGCTGCTGGACTCTGACTGGAGGCCTGGCAAGGGGATGGGGGAGCAGGACAACAGGCTGGACTCCAGAGGCTCTTTGGCTGCATCCCCCATTCCCAGGTTGGCACCGGCTTTATCTGAGGTGAAGACTTCCACCTTCAGGAGCTGCCTGTCCAAGGGGCTTTGCAGTGGCTCTATTTCATCCCCAGAGTCTCCTCCTGGCTGGGGCAGGTCCTTCTCCTGAGCTGGCAGCAGCTCACCTGGCTCCTCCAGCTCTGTCGTGTGAGGGACCCATGCAATAGAGGTAGCAATTTCAGAGTCCCACTCTTCTTCTGGCGTGGTCTGACCATCCCCTTCCTCCTCTGCTGGCACTGAAGGCAGAGCCGTGTTTCCAGAGGAGAGTCTGTCCAAAGACAGGTCACCTTCCTCCTCCTCCAGCTGCTCAGGAGACAGACAGGAGCTCCTGGCAAATCGACCCGGCTCCTCAGAAAGCTCCAGCTCCGACAGGGATTCCCCATAAGCAGTGGAGGCTTCCATGGTCTCCGACTCAGCGATCAGGTTGGGAGAACAAGACGGGGACGTGCTGGAGGTGCCGGAGGAGGCCCAGCTGCCCCCCTCGGCAGTGATGTAAGACCCCGATGGAGAGGTGGGCGGGGAGCACAGCCCTTCGTTGTCCAGATCGCTCTGCTCCTCACTCAGGCTGTCCTTGGCGTAGGGGAGGTGCTTGAGGTGGGAGTAGACCGTTTTGATTGGTGTCGACGGGGCCGTGAAGTACAGGTCCGAATCCAGGACTGGTTTGACCTGTGGAGACTCCAAGGGCTCTGCCTCGGCCAGCTCATCGGGGGGATCTTTGGCAGGCACGGGAGATGGGGAAGGCACATCGGCCGTGGTTTCACCCTGAGAAAACAACTTCTCCTTTAGCGCCGCGCTCGGCTCTTCGGGCTCCCAGGGCAGCGGTCGAGGAGGCCGATAGACACACACTTGCCTGTTGTCTCTGGGCTTTGGGGCAGGGAGACTCCCCCTGGTGTGGCCTGGGCAGAGAGTTTCCCAGCAGCCTCGGAGCTGCTCTCTAGAATTCGGATTTTCCTCGTCACTTGACTCCTCTCCGGCATCGGCCACGAGGCTTTCAGTGCCAGCTGCCTCTGATGCGGGAGCCTTGGCATCCAGCAGCGAGCCGTGTGGCGCCAGCCCTGCGTCTGTCTCGTCATTGATGCTCTGGGTCTCCTCCCCCATCACGATCCTGGTGTCCAGCATGTCCACGCTCAGCACTTCCCGGAGGCCTTTGGGAGGCGTTTCCAGCAGGACCTGGCCGCACTCGCTCAGCGCAGCCAGGCCAGCGGGGGAGCTACCAACAGCGGTGTCACAGCTGGCTCCTTCCGGCTGGGGCCTGTCCTCTTTTTTGGCCGGCAGGAAGGCCAGGGCACCTGGGCTGCAGAGGGTGGGGTCCATGGCAACGGGGCTGGTACAATCGGGGGCTGCTGTCGGGGAGACCTGCAGTGGAGTCAGGGCAGAGGGGGGTGAAGAGTCACCGCTGGGGGTGGACGTGCTGGAGGCATTCCGCAAGCCATCTGGGGAGAGAGCAGAAGGAGAGACATTGAGTCTGGCACTTGCTCCAGGACTCCCCTATGCCACAGGGGGGCTAAACCCGCAGAGCTGGCAGGGAGGCAAGGTCTCGGAGCCACAGCCTGGCACTAGACCCCTTGGATTAAAGCATTGCAACCCAGATTGGCTTTTCACCAGCCATGGGGGTCTGCCCTTCGTTGGAGCCTTTGAGTGGCCAGTTTTGTTTTCTGGTTCTCATGTACAAACTCCAGCCCTGGTTCCAGTGCCAGGGAGGTGGAGACTGGAGTCTAGCGAGAGGACACCTCCTCCCACCCCAAAAGCCTGTCTCAAGTGCTGTTCTACTCTGGAGAGGGACTACGCCAAGCTGTCCCCTTCTCACCTCAAGAGATCCAATCCCATTGGCAACAAGACATGATCTTGTTCCACTACCCTCTGCAGAACCCGCCCGGCTAAGGAACCGCTAGTCCACTTGGTGAACAATAGGAGAATAGAACCAAGTTCCAATCAGCTACACTTGGGCAACCTCTGCCTTCAGCAGGGAGCAGGACTTGACCTGCAGAACATTGGTGACGGTGCATGAGGGGTGAATGCCAGCTGGACGGTTAGATCCCACAAGGGTTGGCAACACTGGCAATTCAAAGAGCACCATCTCCCTCTTGTGCACTGGTCACCCATGATCTGAACTCTAGAGTTAACAGTGCCATTTACAGAGTCACTTTTCAAAGTAGGGATAGTCACAAATGCTGAAGGACAACCCCATTCAGCCGGGCGGAGGGTAGATGGTACTTCCAGCTGTAGAGGATGTTATTTCATTAATTTCCTTGCTGTATAGACTACACAAATAGTGCGTGAGACTGAAGTTTAGTGTTTCCTTCGGAAAAGTTTAGCCTATGATTTCAGTTTCATTAGTTCTAGTGTCTGATTTTAACCAGGTTTCTGTTGATCAGAAGTCAGACTGGACTGTGGACAGTTTTGACACAAGCATCTGCTTAGCAACCAAACCAAGCTAAAATATGGCTACCATTTAAAACGTCTGGAGTTTATGTGAACACAAGACAGCATCTCTCAGCAGCGTGTGATAACAAGTGTAAGACAGTCAGATACACAAGTACGTAAGTACTGGGCAGGGAGTGCTTAACCGGATTGTTGGGCAAGCCATGCTTGGCAGACCCATGCTAAAGAAACCAAGTCAATTTAGTGTTGGTGAAAGGAACCGACAGAGCCTTGGAGACCCAGATATTCTTTCTATGGAGCAAG